ATAGAAAATGCACCTGGACTATAGAAAATGCACCTGGACTATAGAAACCACACCTGGACCTGTCATTCTGTGTCTGTTTCTACTTCCTGTCCTCTCAGACCCAGCCGGTTGAAGCTCGTCCTGATCCTGGTTCTGGAGGTTTCTTCCTGTTAAAGGGAGTTTTTCCTTCCCACTGTCTCCTTTGTTCTTGCTCAGGATGAAGACTGTGATGAAGATTCCACACTGCCTGCTTCTTCCTCAGATACAGAACTTTTACTGATTGTTTTTTATAAAGTCTGTGAATGTTTGTGTTCAGTTTCCTGAGACGACGTCTGTTGGAGCTCCAGAAACAAACTGCAGTGAGTTGAGCATTGAAATACTCCACGTTGCTCTCAAGTTGCTGCTCATGAAGAACACTGATAACTTCTTCTTATTGTTACTTTGGACTTTAGGCTGTCTCTGACGCACACTGTGACTGTGTGCACAATGTGCAGCCACCAGTGATGACGCCCTGAGAGACGGAGCCCCTGCAGCTGACGGCAGCACTGCTGGAGCCTTTTCATTTGTTTCTCATCTTTTTCTTCTTACGATAAAAAATATTAACACTAACAGACAAATGTTTGGATGGCCCAGATTAAAGCAAAGATGTGTGTCTTTGTTTAACTGTATTTTCTTTTCTTTGAAACTCATAAAGTCTTCTCTGTGAGTCACTTTCAGGAGTCTGTAGTTGATCCTAAATATTCGTACGTCTGTATCAGTCTAGTACAATATTGTCTCACCACAGAGACTGTGTGTGCTGCAAAGGATGCTGGGTAGTCTTGTAGAAATGATGTGTGTAATGTTTCTGACTGAGGCAGCATGGTGGATCAGTGGGTATAGCTGCTGCCTCAACGAGCAGGTTGCCCCAGTTCAAATCCCAATCTGGGGCCTTTCTGGGTGCAGTTTGCATGTTCTCTCCGTGCATGTGTGGGTTTTCTCCAGGTGCTCCAGTTTCCTCCCACGGACCAGAAACATGCATGTTAGGCTGATGGTAACTCTGAAGTGTCCCTAGGTGTCCCTGTGATGGACTGGAGACCTGTCCAGGTGTTCCTGTGATGGACTGGAGACCTGTCCAGGTGTTCCTGTGATGGACTGGAGACCTGTCCAGGTGTTCCTGTGATGGACTGGAGACCTGTCCAGGTGTCCCTGTGATGGACTGGAGACCTGTCCAGGTGTCCCTGTGATGGACTGGAGACCTGTCCAGGTGTCCCTGTGATGGACTGGAGACCTGTCCAGGTGTCCGTGTGATGGACTGGAGACATGTCCAGGTGTTCGTGTGATGGACTGGAGACCTGTCCAGGTGTCCCTGTGATGGACTGGAGACATGTCCAGGTGTCCCTGTGATGGACTGGAGACCTGTCCAGGTGTCCGT